TATGTGCATCTATTGCTATAAATTGTCCTCTGAGGACTGCCTTTGCTGTGTCCCAAAGGTTTTGGTATGATGTGTTTTCATTCTCATTTGATTGCTGATAAACAGTGCCACCATATGAATGGTGAACAGCGTATACTTAATCACAATTTATGTCGATTCAGCATGTTTTATATGGATTAATTCACCTGATCTTCACAACAACCCCATGCACTGGATATGATTATTTCCAATTAAAGGTGAGAAAACTGAGGGATGAGAGGTTTAGTAAATGTTGGAGCTCTGATTGGCTCTAGACCATGGGTCTTTTGTCAGTCTGCCTCTTGAGAGGGCCTTGAAAAATCACAGCAATAAGCCCAGAATGTTTCCCTTCAACTTAAAATTTAAAGTATTATGTCTTTTGGTTCAAAGAAGCATTCAGGGGATAGCTTTGGATTAAGGTTTAAGTTTAAAGATTATCTCAGGGCAATAGTTTTAGGGGCTTATCTAGCCTCAAGAGCTCCGGAAAGTCTGGATTCCATTGGGAATTTGAAATTCTGTTCTGCATTCTCCCCCATTTTGATCAGGATTCTTTTATAGACTTTGATCAAAATATTCAGTAATGGTAGCTGGGCAACATCCAGTTCTCTGGTCTCATGGCAAAGGAGGTAGTTGTTCATGGATGCTCTTTTAAAAAATTATCTATGTGTGGTCAAATTGACAATGGCAATTTGAAAGGTTGGATGGGAAGTTTAGGGGGCAGTGAGTTTAAGATGATGGTAGAATAATGTGAAAGAGGATACTACGGGTACTATTTTGTAGTAATAGAGATGGACTTTTGAGAGTTTGTTTTTTCCATGTCTAGGAATGTTCTGGAACTGAACCTCAGGCACAGCCTTATCTGATTCCCCTTGTGCAGCAATTTGCAAGACAGGCAGCTGTAATGTTAGGACGGGGGTGTTCTGGCCTGGGAATGCTAACTCCAGCATTCTTTACTTTGTTGGATAACAGCAAGAGTGTTAGAAGCAACAATCCAATAATATTGCAGCCTTTCGCAACCCCACAACCAATCTTTTGAGCATTCCATTTTATCTAAGAAATTTCCTTTTAAAGTACAGATCCACCATGCCAACTCCCACCCTACCAACTGTCAAGCCAATCCTTTCTTTCTTTTTTTTTTTTTTGCTTTTGAAGATTGGTTGTTCCCATCTGATTACGCCCCTCTCAGCTGAGATCTACTGTAAAAAGGAATGGGACTGGCACTTTGGTAGTCACTTTGATGATTAAGGTGCGCCTGACCAAAGCCATGGTCTTTTCTATCCCTCATATGCATGTGAAAGCTGGACAATGAGAAAAGGAAGGCTGAAGAAGAATTGACACATTCAAATTGTGATGTTGGCAAAGAATATAGAATATGCCAAAAAGACAAATAAATCAGCCTTGGAGGAAGTGCTGCCAGAATTTTCCCTAGAAGGAGGATGGCAAGACTTCGTCTCATTTACTTTGGATATGTTATCTCCAGTCCCTGGAGAAGGACATCATGCTTGGTAAAGTATAGAGTCAGCAAAAAAGGAGGAAGACCATCAAGAAGATGGATTGACACAGTGGCTGCAACAATGGGCTCAAGCATAACAACGATTGTGAGCATAGCACACAATCTGTTTCATTCTGTTATACATGGGATCGCTGAGTCAGATGCAACTCAGCAGCACCTAACAACAACAACATCAATATTTAAAATGTGCCTGGCCAACAGTTCTCTTTGTGAACCTATCACAGAGAGTCACATTTGCAGAAGAGGGTGTGTGCAGAAATGTTCACTGAAGATTTGCTGGTCACAGTGGAAAACTGGAGACTGACCAAATGTGTCCACCATTGGGGAATGACTGAAAATGGCAACCTGTCCATACTATGGAATACTATGTAGTAACCAAGAAGGGCAAGATATATCTATTTTTGCATGGCTAGATTTCCAAGCTATATTATTGGGTGAAAAAACTCAAATTGAAAAATGACACGTACAGAATAATATCTTTTATGTAACAATAAATGGTGAAGTCATGACACAAAAAAATACTCTGTGTTTTCTATGGGTACATATTTGTGTATGTAAATACATAGAAACATGCCTTGAAGGATTGGAAGACCCCACCAAAAAATGGTAACAGCGGATACGTCTAGATAAAAGTGAATAGAGTTGAGGGGAGGGTGATCAAAAGGGAATTTAGCTTTATCTTTAATATTGTAAGGTTTTAT